TTAAAATGTATTGAATGCTTGCTAAGTGCCAGCCATTATTAAGATTTGGGGATATAGTAATAAATAAGATGTACTGTCATCTCAGAACTTGTGTTCTAACAAAGGTGGAATCATTGTAAACAAATAATTATTTATAAATGTGAAGCCTGCCACAGAGGAGACATATAGGGTGCTATACAAAGTACTGGAAAATTTTGAGAAACTATATACCATGCAGTCAATCTAGGATATATCATTTTGCATATAAAGGTGACATTATTTTATTGAAATACATCTTTGGAGGTCCCTGATCTGTTTCTGAAGACTACATCCGTAACAGTATCTGGTATCTACTCAGTGTTCAAATAAGTGCTATTGGGCTGGACCAAACAAATTTGAGGCAGTCACAATTCAGATCCTCCTTATGTCTACACAAACACAAGTTAGAACACGTTTTCAAACAGTATGACCACCAATAAAATGCATGAAGTGGAACTGAAAAAATAAATAAATAAATAAAATTAGTTGTTTTTCAGTATAGCATGTGATTTGATTGGCCTGCCTTTCTTCACTGAATTGACTGGTAAAAAAATCAGACCAAATCAATAGTGGAAGTCTTATTTCTTTCTGGAATCATTCATAGAATAGGTCAATTGAAAAAACATCAGTATATCTGTTTCATTTTCCATTTGGTATAAACTCACCCTGAGGGGAGAAAAGCATTAAAGCTCCAGTATCTCTATTTTTAAATGACACATCAGCATGAAGGCATATGTGAGGCAACAGTGGCTTTTTAATAGGTATTCCTTTATTACTGCAATCAAAACCTGATGAGAAAAAATACTATTTGAAAAAAGCTAAGTATTTAATAAGTGGAATTTTATAGATTTATAGATTATTCTTCTTCACATTCTTTCCTTTCTGGAAATAACTGAAATATGAAACTCAATTATACTCTTTTAGAAATGAATGCATTATAGAAACATACATCTTTTTTTATATTACCAATAAATGTAAGGAACATAAGCATTCACATACCTTACCCTATGCAACATTTTCTGACTTGGTCAACATGTTTCTAAAAGCAAATATTTCATTAATCATATTAATGAACAGATTGTTTTCCAATAGACTTTAGTTATAAGAAAGAGTACAAAGCTTTTATTAAAAATTTACTATGGTTCTAAACACTGTCTTGCAACAACTGAATAAGGTAGGTACTATCATTATCCCTGTTCTATGGACAAAAATACCGAAGTTTAGATTATAGTATCAGTGAGCAGCAGAGCTTGTCTAAGATTATAGTATCAGTGAGCAGCAGAGCCAGGTTTTGAATACGGCCAGTCTTACTCTAGCATTTAGAGTCTTGACTACTACATTGTTTAATAGCAACATCTAATCCATTTCCTTTTTAGGAAAGCAAACTTTTATTTAAATGGACACACAATTGCACAGGTAGCTCATATATGCTAAATGCTGAATAACAATTTCTGTATTTTTATTTTTGACTTTTTATCTCCTAGTTGTTACTATGAGTCCCACATTGCTGACACAAAGTTGACAGTAATACTAATAGCTCATTTCTTTTTGATAAAGTTCCTCTTTTCCTTGTCATAATCCATAGTGACTCCTTGAATATTTTTGGTTTTTGGGATTAGGTTCTGATCCTAAAGGATTATTAGAGAATTGGAAGCAACATGGAGTACCAAAACAATGAGCAACAACTATTGGAGAAAGGGAAGGACAAGTAGAAACATTCAGGAATCATTTTGCAACTTTAACTTCCTTATAATTCCCAATAGGTACACATGAGTTTTTTCCATAATAAACCATTTTTGCACAATACTATATCAGGTGCTTTTAAAATGTAAAAAACCCTATAATGAAAGGACTACAGACTTGAAAATAATTTTCCCAAAAGGAAAAAAATAGTCAACTCACGTATTTCTGAATCAATCTTTCACTGACAACCTAAGCTTAAACTTTTCTCTCAAATATTTGAAAAGAAACTGATATTAGAAAATTAAATTGATACAATTCACTTTTTCAATTTACTTCTATAAAATGGTATCATCACAGATGCTCATCTTTGCATGGTGGGTATCTAGAAAGAAATGTGTAGCATATATGCAGCTGTTATATTCTAAGAATTTTATAAATAAAAACCTGTAGTAAATCTTAAAAAAAAAGAGTTTATGTGATCTACATTTTCAAAGATTTAGAAGTCAAATTATATATCTATTGGGTGTTATGGGTAAAAAGCTAATTTGAGATCTACATTGAGTATACACAAAAAGACATATATATATATATATACACACACATATACATTACATAAAATACATATTTATATGTGTGATAATTTAGTAGCAAATAATGTGACCATTACTTGAAGACTATAGTTGACCCTGTATAGTATTAATGTAACTAAAACAAAACACATATAATAAAGTCAAGTGTATAGCAAGTATTTGCTTTCAGCTAGAAAGAAATATAAGAAATTCATAATCCCAAAGGAATGAATTCTATAGTAAACAGTACTCACTCTTGAAAAAAAAGCCTAAAAACAAATATAATCTGTTTTTAGCTTATAAACAAGACTTTGGTTGACATTTTAAAACTAACTCCACTAAGTGAATGAACAATAACATGAAAAAAAATTTATTTTTAAATCACCATCACTTGCCTAGATATCATAATCTGAATTTTACTACCAAAACTTTATGTAAATCCATGTAAAATTAACCAAAAAAGAGTTGGGGTGGCTATACTATCAGAAAAAAATAGATTTTAAGTAAAAATTTGCTGCAAGAGACAAATAAGGACATTTTTATATTGTTGAAAGGTTCAATTCACCAGAAGATATAACAATTATATGTACCAAATGACAGAGCCAGAAAACATATGAAACAAAATTGAGAGAACTGAAAGGAGAAATAGGTCTACAATAATAGTTGGAGACCCCACTACCCCACTTTCCATAATGGATAGACATCTAAAAAGAGGATTAATAAAGAAATAGAGGACTTGAAGAAAACTATAAAATCAACTAGGCCTAATAGACATGTACAGAACATCCCACCCAACAACAGCAGAATACACATTCTTCTCAAGTGCACATGGAACATTCTCTAACGTTCATTGTTAGTTCATAGAACAATGATCTATAAACTTAAAATGATTGAAATTACACAAACTATCTTCCCAAACCACAATGAAATAAAGCTATAAATAAACCTGGAACTAAGTGGGATGTATCCCATGAATGCACAGGTGGTTTAACACCAGAAAATCAATCTATGTATTATACATTTGTAGAACAAGGGGAAAAACCACATGATCCTATCAACACTTACAGAAAAAGCATTTGACAAAATTCAATACCCTTTCATGAAAAAAACACTCAGCAAATTAGAAATAGAAGGGAAATTCCTTAACATGATAAACAGCATTTATAAAAAAAACCCACAGCTAACATCATACTGAATGGTGAAAGACTGAAAGCTTTTCTCCTAAGAAAAGGAATAAGACTAGGATGCCTGCTTTCATCATGGCTATTCAACATTGTACTGAAATTCCTAGCCAGAGCAGTTTGGCAAAAAACAAACAGATAAATGAAATAGAAGGCATTCAAATTGGAAAGGAAGAAGTAAAACTATCTTTACTTACGGATAACATTATTCTATATATGACAGCACTTCAAAAAGTTCATAGAAAGATTCACATTATCTTTTAATTCTATTTTTCCTCAAACTTTTAAAAATACCTTCATATAGAAAATCCCATGGAATTCACAAAACTACTAGAGCTAATAAACAAATATGGCACAGTTGTAGGATCAACACATAAAAATGAGTTGTGTTTCTATACATCAGTAATGAACAATCCAAAAAAGAAATGAAGGGGAAAATTACATTTACAATAGCATCAAAAAGAATAAAATACCTAAGAATAAATGTAACCAAGGTGAAAGACTTGTACACTGGAAACTACAAAACATTGCAGAAAGAAATTTTAAAAGACCTAAATAAATGGAAAGACATCTATATTCATGGATTGGAATGCCTAATATTGCTAAAAAGGAATCTTAAAGCAGTCTACAGATTCAATGCAATACCCAACAAAATTCTTATGGCCTTTTGGGTAAAAATGGAAAAGCCAATTCTCAAATTCATATGGAAATGCAAGGGGCCCTAAACAGCCAAAACAATATTGAAAAAAAAGAAAAAAAAAAAAAAGTAAGAAGACTCACACTTCCTGATTTCAAAACTTATTACAAGGCTACACTAGCCAAAAGAGTGTAGTAGTGGCATTAGATAGACATATAGATGAATGGGACAGAACTGAGAGTACACAAACGAACCCAAACATCTATGGCCAATTGATTTTCAGCAAAGGTCCCAAGACCATTCAGTAAGGAAAAAAATAGTGTCTTTAACACATGGTGCTGAAACAACTGGCTAAGCACATGCAAAAGAATAAAGTTAGACCTGTACCTCCCTCCATACATGAATATTGACTCACAATGGTTTAATAATCTAAATTTAGGAACTAAAATTATAGAACTCCTAGATGAAAATGAAGACATTAATCTTCATCACATTGGGTTTGGCAATGGATTCTAAATACCTCCAAATTTTACACGTTAAAATGGTTACTTCTGTATTATGTAAATTTCCACTCAATTAAAAAACATATTATGTAGAAATAATAGAGAGCTTAGGTTTTTAAAGAAACGTATTTCAGTTATTAATTTTTAGACGTGTCCTAAATTGTTAAAGTTGGTTACCAAATAATTGACTTATTTTTTGAGCCCCTGCTACACATTCAGTATGCTTTTGTCCTACTCTAATGGCAGTCAAATTTGGATTCTACTCTTGATGCACTAACATTAAAAGTAACCTGTACCCTATTGAGATATGAGCTTCCATTTATTTTCCAGGTAAGTAAAAAGGTTTCTACTACATTCCTAAGTTTTAAAACCCATTAACAAAGAATTAAGATTTTCACGTAAAACTGACCTTTGCATTGCAGCTTCTTGAGTTAACTCAGCTTTCGGTTAGGTTCTAGAAGTTCTCAACTTACAAGATCCGTTTTTCTTGTTTTAAACTGCTCTGAAAAGGATTTAATTTCATTGGATAATCACCACCCAGAAGTTAATCTTTCACTCTTATTTTTTCTCACTTTACAACATTTTACTATGCAAATAATTAAACTAACCTTGCCAGTCAAATGTTATGTTCAAAACAGACACTTTAATGTAAGCAAATAATTTCAAGCTCGTTAACAAGAATGGGATGTGTTTTAAAGGAAAAAGTGAGCCTTAGTGAAGTTTTAATAAAAAAATTAAGTCTCTGTAGATTTAGGAAAAATTATAAAATGTGGAAGTAATACTTTCTTCAAATAAACCACACTTAGTAGCTATGTGATTCATTTTCATATAGCTAAGAGAAAAACTTCTCACAGAGAGTTCTGGAATACCAGAAATGAGAGCCTTCCAAAATACCAATGATCACAGCCTCTGTTTATCAATAAAGTAGCAAAATCTTCAAATGGTCATAGCGAGAACAAAGACCAGTTGCCTTATTGTTCATCATATTTTCTAGCTGTCAATACACTCGGAATACTTGCATTTGCAAGTATTACATATGCAGACTCACCTTCTAATGAACCAGTACTTTACACAGTACTTCAGCTACATCAGTGGTTCTCAACCAGGAGTGATTTTGTTCCCCAGGAGGTATTGGACAGTGTCTACAGGTATTTTTGGTTGTCTCCCCTTGTAGGAGCTACTGGCACCTAATGAGTGGACTGCAGGGATGCTGCTAATCTTCCTAAAACATAAATGGCAGCCTCCCAGAACAAAGAATTATCCAAATGTCAACCTTGAGAAACTATGAGCTACATTAATGGTCTCATCCATTTCCAGCCTAAAATCTGCAGCACAATCTTAGAACACGTCACTGAAGCTGTTGTTTCCTTTTTTTTTTCATGTCATAAGCTGTAAATTTAATTTGTAATTATAAGAATTTAGCTAAGCAACACAGTCTCAGGAAAAGCAGAAGTTATGAATGTTTGACAGAAAAATGACAGAAAATGAAACATAAGACAGATATAATATAAATCAAGTCACAGCTGTACATAACCAAAATCCAAATGAAGATCTTGTTAGATATCTAGACCTCCCTAACTTATTAGTTTTAATTTGCAATATAAACAGTATAGGACATGAATGCGAATTATGGGGCACTGCAGAAGTACTTTCTATATTCATGCCATATAATATCTCCTATCTCAGACAAAATTTTAAGAAACAACTGTTCTACGTTTTTATCTGAATTTCCAGCACTGTGTTTTTATCTTTGCTGACACATTAAACCTTCTTTGGAAGGAGGAAGGTATATAAATTAAATTATATGTTCTTCCTGATATTTCATCAACTAATAATAATAATAATAATAATAATGATAACGGAAATAAAAAAGAAGTTGCATCCTAGTGAAAGTCTATTTTTCAAATCTGCTAGCTCTATAAAGCACTTTAAAAAATAATGCTATTTAGGAATCCTTAATCCCAAATAACTGGTCCCAGAGAAAGCAAATATGCTACATTTGTTACTTCTCTTTAGCCTGTTAATTTCTTGAAATTTAAAAAAAAGGTTATAAAATGAAGGATCAATACATTAAAATCTGAATTAACTGACCCCTAAAAGTTAGTTAAAAGAAAAATCAAGTTTCACAAAATAAATACACTGAAGCAACTATAATAGTAATAAACTTTATTTAAAATATTTTTAATCTAGGAAAGCTCATTTTACATGAGTTTCCAACTAATTATTAAAGTCAAAAACAAAGAAAATAAAACCAGAGAAAATCCTCTGTAGAAAAAATACACAAGGAACATTTCTACATGTGAAAAAACAGTAAACAGTCTTAACATCTGAACATCCAAGTATTAGTCTCAATTCCATCTCTCCTAGTGAACACCACTATCAACCTTCAGATCTGATTTGTTCTTGTCATTCTTCACTGAGTAGATGAAATATGTTAAGGTGTCTTTTTCATTCACTGGAATAGACCTAAAGTGGCAACCAACTATCTATAAAGAAAAAAAATTGAGGAAATTAAATTTTAGATATTCACAGATTTCATAAACTAGGTAAAAAATACTATTTCATCGAAAGAAAAAGTGCTATGAGATAAGAGCTCTTTCCTTTAAAAATTAAACTGTATTTAACAAAATACCAACAGGATGAAAAGCATATAGGAATAAGATGTTATGAGCACTACGCTGTGTGATTTCAAAGGACCCTATGGCCCACTCAATTAAATATATATTGATTAGAAAATATATTTCCTTTTATTTTAAATTGTATAATTGCAATCTAGATTAGGAAGTAAATATTTTTACTTTTAAACTTTAAATATCAATAAAATAATGATATAAATAAATAAAATAAAACAGAAGAGTCCACATGCATCATTAAACTTATAATGGTTTAGACCCTATTTATAGAAAAAGGATAAATACAAAGTTGAAAAATGTTTGGTAACAGAGAAACAAACCACGAAATATCTTAGAAATATGTTTATTGCAACTTATATTCATTCATTCATTCATTCATTGGCAGTGTTCTTCGTTAAGGGTCCTTGAAAACTTTTCTGAATAAAAATTATGGATGGAAAATGAGAAGCAAAAAAGGGATGTTCACTGAAGAATGTTTCCCTGCTTCCTTACATTTTCATTAAGCTAATCTGAATTGTGCTACAACTACCAATAGAAGAATAATAGACTAAACGGGAGTGCTGACATGCATATCTAGATTCCAGGAAATAAAACTTCTTAAAGAAAAAGTTCATCCACACAATAATTAAGACACACAGAAAAGATAGTCATCCAACCCTGGAATCCCATAAAACAATGTGCTATATCTGTTACTTCTCCTTAACTTGTTAATTTCTGCATTTCTTTTTTTTTTTTTTTTTTTTTTCCCTTTTTGTCTTTTTTTTGTGACCGGCAATGGATCGCAACCCTCAGTGTCGCACCCGTACCGGACCTGGAAGGCAACGGTTGTCTTTTTTTCGTGACCGGCAATGGATCGCAACCCTCAGTGTCGCACCCGTACCGGACCTGGAAGGCAACGGGATTGCAACCCTCAGTGTTGCGCCCGCACCTTGCTCAGCCAGTGAGCGGGAACCGGTCTGTATGTGGGATCCGAACCCTCGGCGGGAGCCGGCGCACTGTAGCAGTGCGCCACCGGGCCGGCCCTAATTTCTGCATTTCTGACTAAACTATAACACTCATGGCCATTTCTTATTTAAAAAAAAAAAAAAAAAGAGTTCTAGAAATAATATAACTGTTTTTAGAAGGTCAGATTACCAAAAATTTCAGGATTGATATATGTATTAAAAAAAATATATTTTTAAATATAACATTTAACATAATCAGTTCTTTGGTTCTCATTTGTCCCCAAACAAAGTTGCCTTTAATATCTGATATACGTCATCACCATAGTATTTATGTTATATTAATGTGTTATACAATCCAAAAAGGACTAGATCTTTAAAAAACAAATTTCTTTAAATTAGATTTTTGTTGTCTAGGCAAGAAGTAAAAAAGAAATTCTGGCTAAATAGTTAATATATTGAATTTTAACAATGTTAAAAAGCATTCTGCCAATGAATTATAATTTCTATACATCTTTTATCTTACTCAATATATGCATTTTAGAAAATGTTAGTTAACTACTGAATTCAAGCTGAAGAATATGAGAAAACTAATTTATATATTTACATTTCTATTATGTCTAGTAGGTTAAAATTTATTTTAAATATGATTAAGGTATAAATATATAAATTTATAAGCATCTTAATAAGATGTACAGATTTCTTGGTTTTATTACTTCCTGAGAACGTACATACACTAGGTCAACTTTTCAAAACTTACTGAAGGACTAGAAATACTAGATCAAAGCAAACTATAACTAAAAGCTTAGATAAAAGTCTTTGCCGTTTCTAGATGTGAAAAAAATATGGATGTCTCTAATAAAACAAAATAACATCAACAAAGACAAATTCTGAAATAGTTAAATCAGCAAGTTATGTGAATACTGTTTAAGGGTTCATCTGTAGAACTACTACATCAAAAACTTCAGAAAATAAGTTTTAATAAAGAATTAAAAGTACTAATTCAATTTTACTATGCCTCAATTAGGTGTTCAACAAAGATTTACTGATTAAATGAAAATAAAACTAAGATTTCTAGAATGACTAATTCAATTTTACTATGCCTCAATTAGGTGTTCAACAAAGATTTACTGATTAAATGAAATTTTAAAACTAAGATTTCTAGAATTAGGATAAAAAATTTTTCATTCAGTAGTTTGAAAGCCAGTATTAGAATATGTACACAATCCATTGGGTAGTCATTACATAAAGGAATTTCCTAACTGGCAGACAAACATTTCTAGGCAACTAGATTGTTCCACCATAGATTTTTTTTATTAATTTTGATCTAACTAAAATGTACTGTAACATACACTATATTAATAATTTCATTAGCATTTAATGATACCTTGTTTATGCAAACAGGTTCATTTAAAGTTTAAATAGTTTCTAAAACTCATATATACCTCAACAAGTTGTGCTTTATTAAGTCCTGGTCTGGTTGGTAGCTTGAAGTGTCTTTTGTATCTCCTAAGTGTATTTACTTGTAATTGGTATAAATCAACCTAGAAAAAAATTAACATATATGAATTAGTTCATACAATGTGTTGAAAACTTACCGTTGATATGTACAACAGCAAATATTTCAACTTTAGCACAATACAAATTTAATTCCATTGTCAAAAAAGTCTTACATAATTAAAACTACAAATTATTAAATTATTTAATCTTTTGGGGATAAATATTATAAACTGGGGCAAAGAAAGAGGGAGCTATATGACAACAGAGCTGTAAGAATTGCCAACTGAAACTATAACAAGTCAAATTGTGTAACTGCATTTTAACTGGCTACATTTAATTTTGCTTTCATTTTCAGATTTCTTAAATGCTTTAAACCTTTAAAAAATGTGTTCATATCTTTCTATAAAAGTTTCAGAATGGTCTACATAGGATTTACATTTAATACACAAAAACTTTCATATACCTCTGGAGTATCAATATCTTGAACAGGTGAATCACCTCCATCATCATCACTCCCTTTTCTCTTTCTTCTGTTTCGAACACTCTGAATTAAGTTTTTATGATAATCACAAATGTAAAGATGCCTTGCCTGAAACAAAAAGTTTCACAGTCTGTATATGATTACAGCAAAATATGTCCCTGTATTAGCAAAAAGCATAGGCCACACTGAATTATTAAAAATAAAGGTAGGCAAATTAGGCCATTGTTAAGACAATGGCATATTTCTTTCTACTCTTAAATTCTGCACCCTGTTAAAACATAAGATATCTGGCAATATTGTTAAGAGGA